GAATGCCCAGCATGCCTGGGGAAAAGCATGCCAGGATGGTGGAAGCCAGATAAGAGGCCATCTATGGTAAAAGGTATCCAAAGCATTGTAAGTGAGCACATGGCAAGTGCCAGGTCCCCTGCTAAAGGCATCTGCGTCTGTCTTCACTGGGAGGAGGTTGTACTGGTTCTACCTTTATACAGGTAGGAGTACTGAGAGCCTGAGGGGCCCACCTATACCTACAGCTAGTCCTTACTAGCCCTTACTCTCAGGTCTGTTAGTCTCCAGGTCCTGAGCCTTAGCCATGGCTTCTCAGCTTTGAGTCCCTGGAAGGGATCTCCAAGGAGGCAGGTGAAGCAGTGTTGACTCAGTGCTTCCTGACAGTCGGGTGCTGGGAAGCCAGAGGAGGCTCACGCAGGCGGTGAGGGCTGAGGTCAGACCGGGTGGGATGTTCAGGGTCCTTCCCTGGTGAAAGTACCAGAACCAAGCAGAGCTTGCCGTTTCCCTGCACCCTCTGGCGTGCCCAGCCTTCCAGGGGCTGCTGGAGCAAACTCCAGTCTGACCTCCACCATCCCCTTTACTGCATACCTGTCCTTCCTGTGCCCTGCCTCCACCTGGGTGGCAGGAAGCTGAGCTGAGTGTGCAGCTGACCTTAGGGAGCAGCCCCCTTGATTTTGCAGGCTGGGAAGGTTTGAGCAGGTGGGGGACTACTGGTCACTGCATGCACTCAACTCACAGACTGGGGCTTTCTCAGAGTTCAGGAACTCCAGGCTGCCCCAGAGACAGCCAGTTCTGAGGTCAGTAAAGGTCTCTATGACCAGCAGCTCCTGATGCTGTAGGTTCGAGTCAGAGTCTAGGAATGGGGTGTGGCCGCTTCTCTCTCCAGGGTTGGCCTTTGGATGGTGGAGGGGCAGCTGGATTGCACCACGGTTGCCATGGAGACCATTTGCTTACTCCCACCTCCACATGAGCTAATCTGGAGAACTTCTGCCACATTCTGTACTTGCAACATAATGGAATTTAGGGAAATTCCTATAGTGAGCCAAACTGCAAGTATAAATGCAGAGACCCAGGCCGACTGAACCTCAGAACTGGGCAGACTTCCTCTATTTTGGTCTGTTGTGTCTCTAATAGCAGAATACTTGCGTCTGGGTGCTGTTTAAAGAATAGAGATGCATTGAGCTCAGTTTTGGAAGCCCAAGGTCATCAGGCAACATCTAGTTGAGGGTCTTCTTATTGGAAGGATCCCTAGGCAGGCAGGACATCACATGGCAAGAGTTCATGCAGAGCTTGTCTGTGTCCACGTGTCTCTGTGTCATTCCCTCTCCTTACAGACCCAGTAGGATTCAATCTTGGGGGCCCAGACTGATGACCTTAATCCTAAATATCTCCCAAAGGCCCTCCACTTTTCACTAATCGGATTAAGTTTTCACCCTCTTAATCCCATCACAACTGGAGCCAAATCTCGAACACGCATTTGAGAGGATACTGTCAAGCCATCACACCCTCTGACCTCCTCCTTCCCCGGAGAAAGCAAGCGCCTCCCCTGTGTTCCCAGTGTTCGGCCTTCCACCTTTGCCCAGCTGTCTCTCCACCGGAAGTGCCCACTCTCGCCTTGCTCAAACGAGTCAAGCATCTTACCCTGTCCCAGGCCAAGTGCCATCTCCTCCTTGTCAGCTGCCTGGATTCTCCATTTCCACCTTAGACACACCCCAGTAAAGCCATGTTCCTAAGAGGGAGGCAGTGGGTTCCCAGAAAAGAACTGACTTGTAGCCAGGAAGCTGGATGACCTTGGACACATGATTTAACCTCTCTGATCCAGCTTCTTCTAAGCTGGGTGGAAATCTGTCATTCAGATCTGCCTTTTTATTGCCTTTTGAAACTCCGCTCCTTTCTCCAATGGCTTAAATTCCCAAGGCTTTTTGCAGAGGAAGTGCTTGAAGAAGGATGTGGAAAAGTGGGGGCCAAGGGTGGCAGCCCCCTCCAGTGCACACCTCTGGGATTCTGGGACCAGCTCACGTTGATCAGAAGGCACTGAAAGGCAGCCTTGTGCTGCCCTCTTGTGGCCAATGTGGACACCACCATCAGGACGCTTTTCTCACCCAGCCTTTCTGAGTGGCTACTCTAGAGAATGCCAATCACCTCCAGGACTTCCTGCTTGACCTGGCACTGGCTTCCTGGCTCACTCTCACCTGGGCCAGGGAGCTCCCGGAGACCAAGAGCAACCCCAGCAAGAAGGTGTCTGAGAGTCCTGAAGTCTCAGGAGTGTGGCTCCGAAGGCACCCAGAGGTGAGGAAGTGGTTGCTGGGTAGCTGCCCCCCCCCCCCCCCAACACAATGGGGCCCACCAAGTTCTTTGGG